TATATTATCTATCGCCTCCAACTTGTGCCACAATCCTCTAGTCTACAGCACAGTCGGAGTAGAATTACGGTTTTAATCAGATGTTTAAAGCATCTACTTAGCCTTGCTTTCCAATATCCCCTTTATTTATACCTCATTTACCACTTTAACTGACTTACTGTAACAACACAGGTGAATGTGTCGATGTTTGTTTATTACTAAGGTATGAGTAACATATATAATTATCATTTTCTTGATTATCTGAAGGCAAGGTCGCTAACAACAGGTTCGCTGATCGCCTCACTGTCACAGAGCTGGGGATTTATTGACTTGTTTAATTGCTTTGTGAATTATAGAATGACGAAGCGAAGCAATAATACGCATTTTAGTTACATTTAATAACAAAAACCCTAATATTGCAAAAATTATTTTAAAAATTAAAATGGTAGCTCTGTGACGTTTGTCGCTAGTACGTAGCGACGGTCAGATATTTTAAGACAATCAATACAGATAGACTTTCACTGGCCGTACGTGTCGGACGGATCAGCTGGCGGAAGAGGATATGACGTCACTACTGTTATAGAAGGTTGTTGGATCGCATCACAATAGACTGCGGCTAGAATGTGTTGAGGATTTATTGATGAGCACCGAGCCTATTAGATATCAGTGAAATAACACTCGTTGGTTCGATATAAACTGTATAAGATTGTTTTGGGTTTTCAACTGGCTTGGCCTCTTCATTGCGTCGTATAACATAGAGACAGCTTATTTGTGTGAACATAAAAAATAAATAAAATAAAAAACATCAAGAATACAGACAGCGGACCACCTCTAAGGAGAGAATCATTTCATGTATAAAAAAACCCGTCACGAGTGAAATTGGGTTGTCGGCGTTAATCTGTCGAAAAGTGCGGCAAATCAAACATTGATAGCCGCTGACCCGCCCTTCGACGATCAGAGAGTTGAACAAACGGACCGACACACATCATCTAATGTAACAAAACAAACATAGAATGATCCTTAACACCCAGGACTTAGAGACTAGCGGAACGAAGGCTGGTGTGGGAGTTCACGCAGAGGATAATTCGTCTGATTGTTATGAAGATTTAGCAAAAACAGAGGCAGTGTTGATCGCGGGCCGCGGCGCAGAACAAACAACACGTCGGCGAAATAATTATAGATGAGACGCGATACAACAGGTATGATACAAATAAGAGAGAAGTTGGAGACCACCGACGATGAACTATCAATTGTCGAACATCGACAACCCACTGTTATACGAAGGACTGCTCGTGCGATCATTACTGGATCGGAATTCATTATGAAGCACTCGGTTTGTGTAACGTTCGACGAGTTTCATTATTAGATTCGAGTTAAGTAGCGCGTACATTGTTATTAAACTGGCACTTATGAATTCTTAACAACTAATTAGTGCAGTCGTTACCCGCTCTGACTTGGTAATTAACGATTGGGGTATAAAGATATTATAGAATTTCAAAAAAACGCATCTAATTCTGTAAAATTTGTTTATAGTGATTGTTTCTTTTATAGTGTTACATTCATACGTTAAGAATATTCCCACAGTTGAGTCCGTGGAGTCTAAGCACTCGCCGGACTTGTTTTATTTTTTACATTTCTCAGATACCTGCTGTGTTTTGGGATCGAGAGATTCAAAAGCGTCAGTACCGACGTATATACTGGACGAGATGTCGTCCATGGCCTCCCCGGTTCTTGGACGGAAAAATGTTAAAGAAATGAATCCGTAATGGACGGAGTCGGGTAATAAAGGCAATGTTTATAATGGCTCCGGCGAGATGAGGCATATCGGACTGGAGTCACGTATCTCGCGCTCCGGAGGCGTGGAACGAAACCATGAACTTTGACAAACAATTGACAGATATGGGAACTGTATGGTTGGTGACGACTGACGCTCGGACAATACGACCAACAAAACCTGTCTCTGGCACCTAAAGAAAGCTTGGGACTCTGGGAAGTAGAAACGGACGCTTTGTGTATGAATCTACATATAATGTTAATATATTAAACATAACTACTCACTCGTCCTTTAACCAGAGGTTTCTGTGTGAATTTCAGGGTTTCTTTGAGCTGTATCACATTTAATATTAGTATGTATAAACACAGTATGAGAGCGACTTAATCTTAATTCGAGAACATTGTCTTTTCAATCAGATAATGTACATATTTGTTTGTTCTTTTCGTCGTCTGATCCGTGTTCCCAATCCAGTGTGTGTTCTCTGATGTCACGCTATTTCTGTATAAACGTCTCGTCTCGTTGGAAGAACAACAAACATGTTTATACAGACGGACAGTTTTGTATCAATTTATATTTATTAACCCCAAAAAAATACTTTAACGGTTGATGGAGCACTAAAACAAATCAATGTTGATTTAGAACACATTTTGAGGACGCTATACATTTTAATTTACATTGAGATCTTTTAATGTAAAGTCAAATAAATGTTACTGTTGTCAAGTACAGGCTCTTTTCTAACAAGTCACAGAACATGCGTACAGAGGGATGATGATAATGAGAAAAATTTTATAATAAGATACTTTTTAAAATGTTAGACATAAGTCGCCATCTCGTCATGACGACTTGAAAGGATTTAAAACAATTAAAAGATAGTAAAATTTTCATGTTTATATAGTATGAAGGATGAGTGTATGTGAAAATAGTTTCGGAACATGTCAAACAAAAGGTTTGATATTCATAAAACAAACACTAAGTAAATGGATGGCGTCGTTCCTGACAACTTTATCAACTCTCAATTGTTTTTTGTTCACTCTTTTTTATTAAACAACAGTCGGATAGTCGGTAAACGATCATTAAAAGTAGATGCTCTATCAGCTATCACCCTTTTAATGTGAGGGCTCCACATGGAAATTTATTCCTTAATTGAAGAACAGTAAGGTATATATTCAGTTAGTTTAGACCGAGTCTTTAATCTTGACGGAGATTTTTTGTTTCTAATCGAATTGGATGCTGCGACGTTTACTAATTGATTGCTTCTCGTTGATTTAGATCAGATCTTATTCTATAAACAATACATTTGATAACATTCACAAAATACACTAGCGAGTGTTGCTCCACTGTGAAATGACTTACTTTCATTTATTTACTGTTAACGAGTACTACGTTATAATTGTTGTGTCCATGCAGTTCAGTGTCGACGATAAGCGGTTCCAGGCGATTCTATATGTATGTTTATTGAAAATTCCATTCAAATTGAATCCATTTAAAAGTCATTTATATATTTATATTGTTCTGATTGTATCCCGAGGTCGGTAATCGTTATCATAACACAGATCCCTTCGGTGCCGATTAAAATTCCTTAATCCTTTTTTGTTGCTGATTTATAAAATATCTCGGCTTCTTGAGGCGAAATATTATTATTTAATAAACAAGGATTCATGTTCTGTTTTGGTTAAATGAAAACATTGGAAGAGATAAAAAGGTAAAAGTTATAATGTGTATCAGAAATGAATTATAAGAGGTCGGAGCTCACTCAAATTTATCTTTAAAGGCGTGTCGGAATAATAAAATATATCAATTTTTTAATTAACATTTGACCACATTCGTTTACAAATGATTTTTTTAGTTAATATTCTTTGTATTCGTAGTGAGTTTTATCAAATCCCATGTACTATAACCGTTACCCTGTGCCCGGCGTCGTGTTGTCCTCATGTTTGTGAGCGTCAGTAAACGTCTGTACACACGAGTACATACAAACAGTACATTAGTAATGAGCTGGTATTGTACCTGAAACAGTTCGGGCCGTGGGAGTCGGCTTATCTTCTGATAACGTGTGTTTGGCGATCCTATGGTTTTCCCATTGTTTTTACCATTCTAGTAATTCTTATTCACTATACCTACTAATGACCATTCTAACAAAGATTATATAATTATGAAATGTCAAAGAAAAAATTTCTTTTATTGTTCAAATTACGACTGTTCCAATTTGATCAATTACTAAACATCTCACCTTTATATTTTGTTTTAAACTTAATGCGTCATCGTTTCGATCACGGTCAGATCGTCCGAGGATGTCGACACAAAAATTAATATAGTAAAAAGAAAATAATTCATTCAACTGCATAATAACACAATGCATGAAATCATTCAAGAGACATCAACAAAGGTCCTGTGTAGTAACCGAGTCTGTCCGTCTGTCCGATGTAATCTCCAAAACTTCGCATTCCTCACATAAGCTCTGGGTGTGAAAAAATATTGTAAACATCGACCAGCGAGGAGTTCAGTACAGTCGTTACACAGTAAGGTTAGTATTTTACAAAATTTATCGAATGCCTTAAAAGTTTTCTATATATAAACATTTAAAAGCAACGCTGACGTCGTTCACGAGGAAGATACTTATATATTTGTTTGTCAATATTTGCAGGAGTATTTTAAAAAATATTAAGGAATGTGTTCCAGCCGATATTTATATAATAGATAATCACAAACACAACATGTAGAGCGTATCCCTAAAACGCGGTACAATGCTTACCTACGAATAATAAGATCAAATACAAAAAAAACAACAACCTCCAAGTTCGAGGCACAATCGTGTAAGCATGCAGACAAACCTTTATATTAATACAATGCAATAGTTTCGTCCCTTTCAGACGTCGCGCCTTCACAAAGAGGCTTTTTTTCATTTCATTCACCCGAATTACCTTTTAATTTATAATGTTAGGGGCTCGCCGCTTGACTTAGTATTGTGGCGCATCGAGACTCACGGCCACTTGAATGGTGCCGGCTAGTGTGTAGCGTCTTCGACAACGAGTATCAAGGAAAACGAAACACGATTACATCAACTAACATACGAAAAATACAGTCATGATAATCAATTACGATTGTGTTCTATCACTGTGACATAATTCATTAGGGAGTCTTCGCCGAATTACTTAGACTCCTATACTGTTCCTTTGTAGGGAAATTTTCTCCAATTGAGTAAAGTACATGAGTACGCTGGGGCCATTATATTAATTTGAATACGCAGATGATTAGCAATCAACATGAGCAGACTGCCATAGCAACGCCCCTCGGCGGCCGCTGGACTCCGACCTTCACCTTGCCTCAGCCCTCAACGGCTTCGTCTGGAAGAAACGAATTACTGATCGAACGTTATACACCACTACATCACTCTCAGGCCTTTCATTGAGTGTGTGTGTTGATGTATAACACATCTCGATACTTCGACGTACATTGATCGCTTTGACTTATACACTTTCCAAGCTTTCGGTTAAAGTGGTCGATGTATTCAAATGTTATAAGTGAGACGGAAACATTCATGGAGGTTGTAATGTGAAGGACTCCTCCAGGGTTAGTTCTGCGGCATCTAGTGTATAAGGTGACCCCTAGAAGGGCGTTCTTTATTCATGGGGAGCTGTTTACAACACTTTGTTCAGCGAGAAGGGTAATCGAATCACCATTGAAACGTCTCGTAGGGGAAGTCGATTGGAACCCCTGACGGCTTTTTATGTGGACTCTTTGAAATTATGGTGTTGTGTTGCCCTCTGCTCTGTTTATTTAAGTATAATAGAAAAGAATCATTGAATTAGATAACTTATTTGCAGTTTAAATGTAAACTTTTGATTTCAATGCACTTTCAGTTTAAAGAGGATTCATTTGTTACATTAAGAGAATCAAATATATAGTTTCGATGATATATAAGTTAGATATTTGGAATAATTTAGAGGACGACTGTAATAAAGTATATAATCATGTATATATCAATATTGGAAAGGAAACGATTTAAGTAGCGGTGACATGAGGTATCTAAGACGAAACTTAACGTGTAAGGGTGGCTTCACAATGAATATTCTATTATTGTATTAACATAATCGAATGACAAACCGCGAAACAAGGAAGGGCGGGACCAAGAGCAGATAATACTTAAAAAAATACGAATAATAAAAAACACGCTGTGACGATGTATTATCTAAATAGATTGTATAATACTCCGAGGATGCTGGACCCGCGTCATGCATACAATGTCACTAAGATATTTGTAAATATATTGTGATTATTGTGTTATAAGATGGAGCTCTGTCCCGAGTGAGAAATAAAATACTCATTGAAAACTAAATGGATGTTTATTTATCATGAATCCTAATACATTATCTGAGAGCGCGTTTGAGTTTAGTCTTTTGGTTTGTTTTTAGAAGCTATTATGAAAGGAATGGTATTTTAATTTAATGTTATAATTAAGTCAGTGTGCTCCCGCCTGTTCGTTCGATAACGTTCCAGCTATATTTCTCTTTTATCATATTATTTTTATTTTATGGACTGACTTTAAGGTGGTCGTGTTGATCAATGCTCGGAGTTCCTTCTCCTTTAATATAAAAACCAAATGATTTATATTTAACACATACGAATCGACTCATTTATATGAAACATAGAATAGGATATAATGATAATAATGTAATAATCATAATGTACTTGTATATTAGTAAATGAATATTGCCTCCTCTCTAGAGTTAAACTTCGTGCCATCAATGTTATAACATACGGAACCCCTCCAAGATATGCGCCAATTGATATTTAGTATAAAGCCCCACACCTCCGATCTTCAGAGGTCCTTACTCTCCACATTGTTTCGTTGCTTCACATTAGTATCCGAGGACTTTATTTGCATATTTGTTATAACTTAAAAATGAAAATTTATAGCTGTAATGGAACATTCTTGAACTTCTTCATCGTTTGATTTTATTTTTTTAAAGGAAATATATGGTGGGTTAGGTCCGATCTTTTATTTTTCGTCGAACATGTAGTTTTTATTATAATTTTAATAATGTGACATTTGTATCTTACATCATCTGGTAAGTTTCGTCAACTTGACGTTATACGTCACCGCTCCTATATTCATATTTAACACGATGTAAAATTATTAGTGACTATGCAAAATAATCGGGTGAGAGATAAAACAATAAGAATACAAGAGGCCTCCAGTCCCTCAACTAACAAAAAGCCAGTTATGAATAACGAAAATGTGCCAAGACATTGTATTATTACACCCGAAAACCCACAATGTAGTGGCGGCGAAGAGAGGCTTTTATTGACTCATAATTTACATAGCCATAACTCTCTTTTTGTCTCCAGTGATCGAACATTTAGTAAGAAACAATTAAACAGAAATTTAGGTGAACATTTTTTATTCAAAGACGTGGAATACTCGCAGAGAATAAAAGGGTATAGCGTCGCTCACGAATCAGATGTTAACTGTATACTCGGAGAGAAAAACGTATTGATGTCACCAGAAAATGATTATACTCTCAACCATAAACAACGATCGTGTAATGAGAAATATAAGGAGAAAACGAGATACGACTATAGTTTAAAGAATAAAATAAAAAACAATCATAATGAGAATTACTTGACTTCTAGTGACAAACTTCATGAGGACAAATCAACATACTGCCGTCCGGTTTTGAGTTATTACAATCAGCAGTTTATATATAAAACGATACAAAGAAATGCGAGACTTAAAAACTTAGTCAAGAAGCTCTCCCTGGCGAGGCAGAGGGAAAAGGACAAAGTGAATTGGAACAACTACATCAATGATTTAAAAAATAAACACAGATTCAATGAAGTAAGTATTCTACTTGACGACGATGAAAATTTACCATCTGACATTATTGACGATTACTATAAAACTACGTACTCCTGGGAGCAGTCTGGGTTTGGTAAAAATTTATCACAAGAAGCCCGCGACACATCGCCAACGAAAATGCTTCACGGGTGTTACCCAACAGCATCTCAGGAATCTAAATATTTGAAGTTAAACACAGATATATTTTGCTATCCGACTTCTTCACTGGGAAGGTTCATTATGCTTAGAAGGAACGAAGGAATGGGGAACACGTTAAGAAGGAATCAAGGTCAAATTCAAAACAATCAATACAACAAAATTTCAGGCAAAAATAGAAGTTCAGGTACTTTAGATAAAAGGCCATGTTTAAACTCGCAAAATGCTAGACACCATAATGAAAAAAACTTGAAGTCTTGCTTAGTTCAAGCAGATAATCAATCTTGTCCACAATTTATTTCAAGAGATAAAGGAACAAGTAGAAGAGGGGATCTCGTCAAGGAAGTATCGATTGAAACGAGCATCGATCATGAATATGAATATTTAAACAGCTTAAATAATAAAAATAAATCATTATTAAATATTGAACATAAACTGGAATGTCTTATCGAGAACTTTAACAGTTTTATCTCTCAAATAAGATCATGCAAAGAACAATGTCATAAGTGTAAATCAGTCTCCTGCAAGAATATTGGAAGAGAATACAAAATAACAAAAGTAACGGGAAAAGACCCTTCAGGTGTTAAAAGAAAAGAGATCATTGAAGTCTGTGAAGCAGCTATCAATAGCTCTGAGAGTTTCGTTACAACTTCCAAGTTGTCAGCAAACAGAGCTCGTTTTAATAAAATTAATGAAATCTTAAAAGAGGATCTCTGCAATGAGAAAGATTCTATGAATGAGAATAAAGTTAATAACTCACGTTCCGTTCAAATATCTATTGAAGTTCCAACGAGAGACTGCTGTGTGTCAGTTACTGATTCTTTGTCTAGAAGTGGTCATGGAGATGAGAGTCTTATTTTTAATGAAAAAACACAAGAAGAACACGTGGATCCTCTCCCACGTATGACCATCGCTGTGAACACTGATCCGCTGAGTTTCTTAGGCTTGCTTAGATTTTCGTCTGATACATTAAGACGTTTGTTATCCTACATGCCGAACTTCGACTACCTCTCCTATTTATCTTCCCTTCATCTCATGCAAGCTCCGAGAAGAGTTAATACACATTATGTTTGTAAAATTTGTGGAGCTGATTTTAATAGTCCTTCAAAGCTAAGTGATCACGTCAGCGGGCACGATACCTTCTATAAGACGAGGTAACATATATTTAATGTAAGCTTGTATTTTTTATGCCCTTTTAATGCATCATGTCCTACGTTTAATCACTATTTTAAAGTCTATATTGTTTTATTCAGCAACTTTATATCAATATAATTATAATTTGTAATAAATTCGATTACTTCTTACTTAAATAATTGTCAATAATGATGCGTAAAACTTTCTAGTTAGTTTATATTATACACATGTGAGTGATCATCAACTTACTACTATTCCATAAGTCCTGTAATATATGTATATCTTTAGTCATCCCCGAAGGTGATCGTCTGCGTTATACTCTATTCTGTACAGCCTGACTCTTTTTAAAACGTGGTTTAAATATTTTCACTTGTGTAAGGTGTAAGGTATTGATATGTAAGAGATATTAAACCAGAATAAATATCTGGGTCATACTAATATTTCGCTACCTGGATGACAGTCATGAGTAACTTCTCGAATAACCCGTGCAACATCATATCAATTATTTTACCATATATGTAAAAAGTGTGTTCGGAATTTAGAGACGATCTAGACTCAGAGAAAGTGTATAGAAATCTCGGGCCTCTGCTTGTGATGTAGCTGTATTTGCGTCCTGTGTGTGAATTATTTTCTTCATCAAGTTTTACCACCGCAATCTTTCCCGCAGGATTATATGTCAACCATCTTAGCTGGGTGTATTCGTTACAAAAACTGTTCCTTTCCGGGTTTTTTTATTAGCCTTTCCTATATATTTTATCTGTTTGAAGCGACCATTCTATAAGATGTTCGATTGTCGAGTTACAGTTTATAAGAAAAGACAATAAAGGAATAGATAATAATCGAAAAGAAAAAAGTAACTAAAAAGATTGAGAAGTTTCTATAGTTTCAGTTAGCGTATTTTCAATTCGTTAGATTTAATGAAAGCCTTAGTTTCTTCCCCAGGGACTGCTGCGTGTGTCGTCATGTCATCGAGCAGACGAGAGCCGGTATATTCACGTGTCAGTACTGCGGCCTTCAGTTCACGAGAGCCTACTGTTGTGAGTTACATCAACACTCCTGCGCCAAACGAGTCGGCAAGTGTCACGACGTATCTTCTAGCCTGATGCTGCTCAGATAAGGCAGATGTGGGATTTAGGAATACGAATGAACAGACGAAATAATAACGATTTTATTCGATAGTTATTGGTATTAAGAAAAGTCTCCGCTAATCATATATTTTGTAACAAATATCGATCAAATCATAATTATTTTAAGTCGCTATGTAACGTCTGTTAAGGATTCATGTTGTCCCAGTCACAAACAAGTGTATTATGTTTATTGGCCATGAGTCGTTGCACGCTCTCGTCTAAGCTCTGTTTTCCGCATTAAATTATATCATTACAGTGATAGCTCTTGATAACCGACACGTAATACTTAAGAGCCGTTATGTAACCATCCAGGGCTTCGGTTTGAATACTCGCTGGCAGAACTCATGTGGGAGTCAAAATGTTTCACATAGTTTTATACAAACCATAACAATATACAGCCCCCAAAGCTAGCTACAGAATAACTGTATTGAAATAATGACCCGATATATTGTATAAGATTTACATATGTTTGATAGTGAATGTATCGTTTGATGAAATGTTTCACTGACACTGTTTGATTTATAATTGATAGTTATTGAAGTGTGACTTAAAATTTGAATGGTTTAACTTGTATGCATGTAAATGTGTAAAATAAATGGTTTGGTAAATCACATTTTGTTTTTATAAAAGTCCTAACAATTTTAATATATGAATACATATTTGAAAGATTCTTTTTAGGAATAAAAAAAAATACTAAATTCAAATTAACGTTTTAAACTGCGACAGAGGTAATTTTAATGTATTAGTTCGAAGCTGATTTTATTTTAATACTCAAGTTTGTGTAGAACATTCATAATGTATATATTTTTTGCGCAGTGGACCGCTCTGACATAAGCTGGTCAAAATTTGTGTTCACGTGAAGGGATAATTGGGAGACGGTGAATTGTCAAGGCAGCTTTGTGATCTCCGCCGACGATTCATCTTGTTGTTTGTCAGACTTTAGGAGGCTTTTATGATGAAATGAGCTTAAAATTCCGTTAGTACATCTCAATGTGTGGATACATTGGTAATTGTATTAGGTACGGTCAGATTAATACATCCTTATCTACGGTTCTGCTTTGATAAATTTAAAGAGATAACGTTTATTTAATTTGTTATATATTATAATATTTAGTTTATTCGATGAACTCATTTTTCCAATTAAATATTGTTTTTTATGTATGTATTTCCATAATCTTTTAACGGGAGTATTTCGGTGCGAGTCGGATGCATCATCCTTGTGGTCCGTAAATACAATAATGTTTTATAACAAAGCCTCATTGAAGCCGGCCCACCGCCCGCCGCCCGCCGCCCGCCGGGGGTTTCTAAGTACTACTTATTTGTAATATTTGACATATTATATACAATGAAGGTGTTAATTTTTTTGTAGTAGTACGTGTCGGAAGGTCCGCGTCGCTTCGTTACTACTTCGTTAAATTTTTGCGTGGCTCTAAGAAGAGAGGACCGCGCTCTTTGTTCATGTGAAACTGCAAGTATTGTACAGACACGTGGGAAGAAATTTGCTATAAATGATGTAAAACGTGGATTGATTTCTGTTTGCTTTAGTCTGAGTTTCTCTTTTATTATTTGTTTTTACTTAAAAATTGTTGACATTGCATGTCGTTTAATGTACAGCGTCTGTTAGTTTTCTTCGAAAATAACGTTCAAAAGATATTTACGAGAAATCTAATCAAATCAGATCATATTGAAATAAATCTTTTCGACTATAAACCTATTAATAATACCTTAAATACGTTATTCCAAGGCTGAGAGTGACAAATGAGAAACACATTATTTCTGTTTAAGTTTAAACAACTAATATTATTCCAATTTCGTTCGGTCACAGTTGTCTAACGTGAAATTTATCCTAATTGTGGTCTGTCGTGGCAAATTATATTAAATATCTGAGCTCTATTAGAAGCAGAACGTTTGGGAAATACAAGAACGGTTCATTGAGATCAGCCGTGTAATAAACTGGATTATAACAAACGGACACAGCGACTAACGAGTTAGATGAGACTTACTGAGACTACGACCCATAAATTATATATTGAACGATAGATAAATTAGATTTTGGATTTGTATAATAAAAAGAAATGAAACAACAGGCTGTTGTAAAACATCACCTGCCGTTAGAACGACAAGAAATTAGGATAACAGAACAAAGAATGGTTTGAAGTAAGGAAAAGCAATATTTACACAATACTAATCGTGACATTGATACAGCTACACCTTGCGCGTGTCGAATGTTATCTATAGTTTGTATGCGCGCTGTTTATCAAAAACATTATGATAAAACTCATCCGGAGCTTTGAGACAAAACTATTAGGAGTTTTATCTAGAAGCAACGTGTGCCCATTGTGTGTTTAACGTACGCTTGTAAAGATTAACAACCTTTTCACCTGTCTTCTATCGGCTAGGTTACATTTGGGAGTCGGTTTTTAATCTGATAAGTATAGTTAATATGACGAGTGTGTGTGTATGTGTGTCTGTCTTCATTGACGTCAGTATCTCCGGCACGTGAGCTTGATGCTTGTGAGTCAGAGGAACTGGGTGTCGCTTGAGGGTTGATAGTACTTAAATCTTTATTATTATTAAAAATATCATAACACTTTGGACGTTTCCTAACTTGTGCATATCAATATTGAGACCGTATTTGTCTTTATATATTTTTTTTATTAATTTACAATTTATTGGCAGGATTTGATGATCGTAGCGTTGTAATTAAATATATATATATATATATTTTAATTATAATCTAATTTAAACTAATCGAGTTTATATTAGTATTTTCTTTAATACAATAACTCCCGATCGCAATGCCTGAGTAAGGTATAAATCGGTTTCCTCTTCTTAACGGAAACTCATGCAAATGACGTCGTGTCGTCGTCGTGTCGGGCCGGTGTCGCTGGCGTCACGTCCGCAATCCGAACTACACTTGTAAGGAGGTCATGAGGGGAATTTAATAAGACTCATTAACTACCGCTCTCAAACGAACTGCAAATATCTTAAACAAGTACGGAAGATACCCGCGTACAATAAGAGAGGCAACGGATTGACGATTGAAACATAAAGAATGAGAAATAAATATTGATCACCGAATAAATATAATATAATAATCAATGAACATGTGTCGGAGATGTTTCCTAAATCTCCTATTGTCTTTTGTCATTGACCACTCCAAGTCGTTTCATCTGTAACTCTCTCTATAAAAATGATATTCATAAGTTAATTCATTATTTATGATGCTTGTGTTCTCCCGTGGCTTTGTCTACTCGGATTTAACGACTTATTTACCGGTTCGAAGGTAATCTATATGTTAATTTTAAGCTATAAATAATATAATGTATGCGTGTAGTTGTTTATTAAGTACAATAACACTAGTATCCTGTTGAAGTCTGTTCGTCAAGTGTCACTACATAATACTGATGGTATACGTATACGATAGGATAGTATCAATAAATAAATTCAGCGAATGTTTAAGATATCGTAAATTTAAGGGAGAGTAATCTCTTGACCACCGCTCTCGGCTTGATAAGATGGCGCCTGTCCTACACTCACGTAAACATTATGGATGTGGCAACAGACAGCCCGATATTTTACAAAGGGTTTCATACTTTTTAAGGTTAAAATTAGCTTTTTTAATTTGAAATTTGCAAGGATATTTCAATTACTTTACAGAAATATAAATAAACTAGTCTTAAAATTGTCATATTATTAATTATTCTGTTATTTTTGTTTTGACTATTTTCAAACGTGAATCAAATGAGAAATAGTTTAATCAATACAATCATTTGTACATGTTCTCCTATTAAAGTGTCATATTCCTTCTCAGTCCAGTCCAACTGCCACCTCCATACATCGTACATCATCAACAGCCTGGGAGGCTGTTCGTTTGGGTGCGACTATTTGACGCTTTTTTTCCTTTTCGTCTCCACTAAGCGACATTCATTGTATCTTGTTCTCAGAAACGGTACAGATCTCATCTCCACACTGACCCGACTCACTATAAATAACATTTGGATCGATTTTATTTTATTGTTCTGTAATTAACTTATTTAGTTTTATCTATATGATGAGAGAATTAATTTATCTGATCACTGCTCAAAACAACACTCATAAGTCATTTCGTAGCATATATATTCTTCTACCTGGCAATTTCCCAGCATTAGCCAGGGTCTGCCTTATATGTTGTGAATAGTTTTGACTAATTGTTTTTACGACCGGCCGCCTGCCTGATATCAACCCTCTTTGGGAATGCATTAATCAGTGATATCTAAATACTTTTAGAAAGTACACATAACTCGGAAAAATCAGATTGGTACTTGCCAGGATCGAAACCGCGCCCTCATACATGAGAGGCAAGCCTTTTAACTACTAGCCCACCACTGACTTAAAGCATATATATATTATAGTAGATAAATTAATATAATTTTTAACGATTTTTATAAAATGTAAAAGTTCACGCATGGCGTGGAATGTAACACCCTATTAAATAAAACAAAGAGCATGCTTTTATCGGATCGACAGATAATGGATTGACCCATTTAGTGGCTCGCACCTTATAATGACCCGCGACACACAAAAAAACAATTTAGACGACCGTGTATGAAGTCCAGTGAAAAAATATTTAATATCAAAACCTTGATTGTTTGAATGTAAATAGAAAATATTTATTTGTGATTTACAGGCGACATTCATGTATTTTTTTGTTTACAATACATAAAAGTTATCGATTCATTTACAATCACACGAAATCACCGAACTCGTCCGCCTCATTAACATACAATTATAACATATAATATATAGCTCCATAAAGCTTCGTGTTCGTTCCTTATCAAATACTTACGTTGGCCAATTATAATGGTCGATTAGATTATATTTGAAGATATACATAGTTTGGATTCAATAAATAACTTGGAACATTTTAATTACGACTTAAGTTAAAATACTTTAGTAATGTACACAATGTTTAAAAAATATAACTGTTTTTTTTCATTATTGCGCCAAATTAAAAGAGTTATTTAAAACAGTACACTGCCTGAATATTACATTATAAATGTTGATCGTTATTGTTCAAAAGCCTTTAATGATTAGTATCAATATATAAGTGTAGTATAGAGCTTGTAACTCGCTGCCCTCTGCCCTCTATCCTCTGTCCTCAATAGTCATTTCACAGTGGCTGAGCAGTCGTGATTGCCTCGCCGCCTGCCATCCTCTGCCCGCCAACCTCCACCACACACCTGCTTCACGGTTCATAGCAGCGGAGTCTAGATTATGCAATCCACGTTTTGGATGCAATCAATGAATCAATTCAAACCAAGCTCCGTGCTATGTGTGAAGACCAGAAATATTGTTATATTGAGTCATCACCTCATCTATTTATAGATTATTTTTACGGAAGTTTTTTGTAACAATTCCATTTGGATACAAAGAACGAGTCCGACAATTGTAAGTCATTGTATGAAATCGTTTGTAAAATTATTTTATTTGATTATTTCATGTTTATCGAACGATACCTGCGCGCGACCCATGTACCGCTCGGTAGATGAGGGTGTAGTTCCCTGTACTGCACCATCTATTGTAAACCTATCACCTGAACGGCTCTAGTAAAGCTGGTGTACTTTGAGGTGTACTTTCTATACGAGCTACTAAAAAAACATCAGCACAAAAGTCTGATCGAGGCCAGATGTCGGTCGTGTGGACTCGAATTAATTCAAAAAGGTGCAAATCCAATGAAAGGGAACTTGCAACTGTATCATTTGTATTTGTATGTTTTTGGCATATTAGTCTTTAATATAACAATACTAAGAGATACGTGAGTCTCGTGTACGAGGGTTGCGGTTCAGTTACAAGGTGTGGAAGTTTACAAGTCCATGCAAAAAAAACATTTAACTGTCTCTCATGACCATCTGTTGCTATGGTTGATACGAGCTGTACCGTATATTCATATGTTGAAGGAAATAAGTTGCTGACTTGACTTTATCTGTAATCATATATCGACGAAAGTATAAAGACTTATTAAGTCACGATCAAACTTGGAGAAAACTCTTTACGACCTATGACGTCTTTAAATATGTACGCACCATAATAATGAGATGAACGGTACTTATTGTATCAAAATATATATCCATGTTTATACTAAGATCCATCATTACGGATTCTATTAAAAATAATAAAACAATAACCACTTAAAACATCAACAATTCCCGTTGTTTATCACATTTATGAAATTCTAAATCAAACAAACAAAGATTATACGTATATTATATAGAAAAACAATAGAGCTCCGTATAGTTTTAGTGAGAGTGATCGGTTATTACACGAAATACATCTCCGTCTTGTAATCATTTGAATAGTTAGTTACAAGTTCGCTTGAAACGAATTTTCTGTAGACCTCTTCTAAAAATACTTTTAGTTAGAAAATATATATATAAAGATAAAAAGTTTAACAATATTTATGAAAATCAATATAATTATTGAACAGCTTTCCACTAACAGATATCTTTAATATGAAGACGTTTCATATTATTTATGGATAATTAAACATTAAGGTTAGTGCCGACCATAATAATAAATCGTAAAGGGGTCAACTTTGGGGCAGACGACGAATGGCGTCTTATAAACTGGCTTCGCATGTTTCTTATATAATAGGACGCGGTCATAAGACTTGAAAAGAAAATTAAATCGCTTAGAAAAAAACAATAATAATTCGGACTGTTTGATTCAGATCTATTTTCGTGTAAAAAATTGTAATTTAGAAAAATGTATTAATTATATCTGACAATTGTTTTAGTCCTAACAACGTTTTGAACCTGGTCGAGTTGACTTTAACTTTTTTCTCTATCAGCGGTCATATCATTTCCAGTCAAACAAACAAACATCTTAGTTAGATACATCTCAAATGGATCGCCACGATGAAACATTATCCTCATTGGTTCTCAATTCTCATTCCCCTCAAAATAATTGGCTGCAGACCATTCAAGCACTCTTCAGAATACAAACTCGCAAACCGGAAAAACATTATGGCAATCTAATTCTGTTTATGTTTGTGCCATACGGAAGTCGAAAGCTGCTACGGTTTTTGCCACCCCTGGCCACGTGTCCCGAGATCTTGGAGCGAGAATAAACTGGCTGTGGAGTGTGGAGCCTGCACACCTGCTCCTTACACATCAGATACGAGGAGTTCATCAGGCGATATGAAGTCTTAATGTTATTAGATAAGGTCGCTGATCCAGGTTTGATCGTGTGGTAAGTGTGGAGAACGCGTTCGGCAGGAAGAGGGTGTCTTTGATATATATTTAGTAGTGAACTCCCGCTAGCTGTGATCATATAAGCGATATGGCACGAGGTGCCGCAGACGTGTTGATACACGCTGCTGTTGCTCTATTTGTATATAGTATTGAGGTCAATTAAATACTCCAACATCTTGGACAAGATCAAATAGGTATAATTATGTATATATGGGCCTAAACCACTCATCATGTGTGACTCTGAAATATTTATATTTATTATATTAAATAAACTGGAATGTTGGCGGTAAAATTCTGTTTTTGTCACTTTAATATTGTATTATAAGTGTTATATAATTTCAATATTTTTCAATGCAACGTCTCGACAAAGACTTTTTAATATAATAATCGATCAGAACAGCACACGTTTCATAAGAGCGTGTTATTATTATCATTTATCTTTTAATCTCTCATAATAAGTAAAATACCATCTCCGCATATAAATTATGGATTATTAAATTATCTATAATAAACCTTATATCAATAAACTTAAGGATTAAACGCTTTTTTGTTTCGTCACAACACAGCCCCCCAAAAGTACGACAAACATTGTTTGCGGTTTATAATACAAAGGACTAACGTAATAAGAACACGGTAAGGTTGAGTTCGATAAAGGTATGTGTAAAGCTAAATTTGGAAGTGGTTGCTACGGGGTGCGTACAAAAAAGGCAGTTTTCCTTGGATGGAGCGGCGCGCGCGCACACCAGATGGCGTTGCAGGGCATTGACTCCTTAAATATTGTTTTTTGTAAGAAATCGCGACCCCTAAGTGCGGTTTGGAAATTATATGAGCAGCCGCATTCAATTTAAAGAAGGAGCGGCTTTTGTAGCTCGCGTTCAGTTAAAAAAACTCACGGGTTTATGTAATGTAGATGGATTTAAGTGATTCGTTTAAAAAAATACCAAATACCGTAGTAATATTGTATTTAACTCAATTACTTATGTTTTTAGTACATATATATATTGGTGGTAATTCAGAACGTTTTGCAAAACTGTGAAAAGGATGCTTTAATAAAGTAACCGCAATCAATAAAACAACCGCAGCTCGGTGCCACTTAACCATCATTATAATATGAAGCGCGTGGTTCACCCGTTATTAAAGACGTCCATCAAAATATTCTTTAAAAAAAACACTTATATTATCCCATTTGCTTTATTTTATGAGACATTGGACTTTTGAAAACTGTTTACAAATTAATAAATAACAATTGATTTCAGTTAGGACATATCAAATGTCTTTTGATTGGATGTGCGTCTCGATGTTAGTTAAAGAATGATTGATCCTTTGAAATTATTGAAAAGAAAAATTTAATTTAATGCACAAGGTATGTTTAATTTGGAGATTTTAGACTTGAGAAATAGTGAATTCTAACAGTTAGGTTGTTAGTTAATGGAAGACTTCAAGAACTAAAATGAGATAAACGGTCACAGTACAATATTACGAACATTATACATTTAATTATATTGTATACAAAAAGAATGTAAGTTATTAAGGAATTGTTATTGTAAACTGTTCGGAAACATTTTATGAGTTTTCATATCACTTGAAGTCTTAATACGATCATAAACAACCCTCGTCGACTTGATGGAGTGGCAATTATTGAAACAAATGGAGCGATTCATTTATAAGTTTGGCTTGAAAACTTAATAGTTGAGGTTTTATGAGCGAGATTACTACGCTTGTTGTCGATAGATAACGTCATTGAAAACTTTGTTATTTATTAGAGAATCACGAAAACAGATCGTATCTTATTATTACGCATTTTATGGAAATTATGATTCTTCTGGAATCGGAATAACTATTGTGTAAGAGGAACACGCGAACTGAGATTACAAAATTATACACACGGAACATAATTTACATATTATGTTTTATAACCAACGTACTGTCCGTGTTCATATTGATTTGATTAGTATTCCAGTATCTGGCGAACGATTTCTTATAAGCTCCAGTGATTATATTGCTCATATGAATACTTCTCATGCATATATTTGGCAAAGTCTTTGTGAATATTAAGAAACGCCTTGACATTGGTATTCAAGGCGACCATCTGTCAGACAGTGGTACATCACGGGGGCAGCTGTGCCGGCAGCTGAGCGCTCCGTGCTCGCTCGTGCGCTGCGCGTGCGCAGGCTACTTGACGATTTGCATGTGCAGCAGTCGCTTAGTAACTGCTTCGAACTGATTTTATGTCATTAGTACACTACATACGCGTCATAAACCTGGGGTTAGATTTACGTTTTAATTATGTTTTTGTTTACTTAATCGGAATAGTGGAATGTTACTATATTATAAGTTATTGTTGTTTTTTTTTTTCAGCGCCGTATAAGAGTAAAATTTTACGTCAGGATGTATCTACATATATGATTAGTTATTCAATTTAAAATTTCTTAAGAAAGTGTATAAAATAATTTAAGTTGCATGATTATATTGATCGTAATAATTAATCTCATTACTGACCTATATCGCAATTATGAATTGGTCATGTAGTTGTTTAAAACAATGACGATGTGAGGAGCTGTTATGCAACACTCACTCAATAATGATTTAAATGTGTAACTTAAGCATTGTAATTACCAATCATGTAGTTCAGATGTCACTTGATCAAGTCCCGGTAATGAAGCGTACAAACAAACAAAAACAAGCCATGAAGTGGAGCGCGTGCGGGGTCCCATCTGGTGTAACCTGACCCGCTCCTTGCCATATGAATTATGCCATTCCTTGAAAAAATAGCGAAAAAAAACAACCAAACTAAAATCAGTCTTGCCTCATCTTAACAAAATCCATATTCGATGGCCCTATTATCGGATTCGGGGTTCCACTGCGAATAAATACTGACTCTATCGTGTATAATTAGGGTTTGAATTTGTTTGTATTTTGATCAGGCGCAAGTCATCTGGTGAGAGACATGTGTATATTTCGGCGAGGCGCTCCAGATGTCGCGGCTAGTTGATTTCAAGATGTCGCGTTTTTTGCAGCAGCGGTTGGTATACGGTTACTCATAGATAATACATGGTGATGATTGTGCTCGGTGGATGGGAGACTTGATAAACACAACTGTCACGACAATACACATTACAATATTAGATTATAAACGAAAATCTTGTTATACATTTATAATGTAGGAAGATGCAGATAAAGGGTGACTTTTGTTAGTGGAGTTTTTGAAACGTCTAAAACCCTCGAAAAGAGAGTTCTTCTTCAATGCTTTTGACATGACGAAATGAGTTAGTCATATCTGTTCGTTAGATGTACGTCACGGATTCGAACCGGCTACCCGTGTAGGTCGATGGTAACTGTACCCGCTATCGAAACTTATTTGTATGCCATAAACGAATACACCGTGTCACCGCTGTTTCCGGACGAAATATGATAACAAAAAAATATTGTTGATCATTAATATGGGAATTATTGAAACTTCATTTAAATAGAAATTAATAATATTTTGTAAATTCAGTTTTATCGTTCATCGGTTCTTATGCTTGTTAACAAATAATGTGTGAGACAAAATTCAAAATTGCTTATGACTTTGTATAAAATTCATGACTTTACTTAAACTAACTATAATAAAAGTCCTTGTTAATTACAGTGTAAACTCCATATAACGACACTCGATTTAACGACAAACTCTCTAAAGCGTCGAAATCCTTTGACTTTGGTTGGTTTAGCTTGTCTACCATACAATGATACACTCTATATAGCGTCGCAGCCACTCTCAATAACGACAAAATTAAGTAATAAAAAGTACCCTTTAAGTTGCTAAAATTAGTAAAAAATGCGCAGCTGTGTACGTTTTTTTGTCGCTTTGTTATCCTAGCCCGCAATAAACTCCACTGTCGTAATCATGCATACCAAACTTTCTAAGAAATTCGTTCTTCACCAATATGCCTCAATATCGCAAGATATGAATAAAATACGTAAACAATACAACAACATTACTGGTGCTGCAAAACACGTCAAACAAAAACAACAGACTTTATAACATTCTTTTTTATGTACATAAGTACTAACAGTAGTCTGAAACAAACTTTGTCCTTTTCAAATTCTGATTTTTCTTCCCTCTATTTAACGGCAACTCTCTATAACGCACTAAAATGCACGGTCCCTTCAGTGTCGTTATATAGAGTTTACACTGTATATCATCTTCAGAACAGTTCCAATAGATCCCCGGTATTCATACATCGCAATCAAGAAGTGTTAAATTCCGTTTTTGAAGTAACAATGTCCTTCAAATCAGAACTTTATTTGCAAGTCTCTCTGTTTAATAAGTATATAACAATCAAATTGTCTCTCTAATTCTGTTTAATTCAATGTTAGTACACACTATACAGAGGCGTCGGTCGTCTGTACGTCGTCTGCGAATCTCAACGCGTGTCTTCGTCTTCTTTGATGTGCGCACGCGCACGGCCCGCGCCTTCTATCACACAGACGGGCCCAGCAATATTTACACAAGAATTCCTTCATACTTACTCTTGACATTTATGAAACATTTACATATAATTCTACCAACTTTAATAATAATTACATGTGCATGAAGATGTGAATTATTGTATCTACTGTTACTATTACTACTAGAGTGCGAATATTGACGACGCATAGACCGACAAGCTCTAGGTAATGTAGTTAATAATAAAATTATAACAATGGAACCAAGCTAATAATGTTTTCTTCATTTCAAAGTTTATTATCCGTTCCAGTACATTACAAGCTCTGCGCCTCTGTCTGTGGGGGGCTGCCGGCTGGTCTATTTGAGAGCCGACGCTGTAGCCGGCGCTAGACTCATTTAAATGTGCCGCAATATTAATAATGAGAGGAATGTTACACTCGAGGAAATGTTCGCCTACGATCTATAGCTATAGATGATGCCAATAATAATAAAACATCACTAGTATGTATGACAGAAAACGTCGGCATTTTTCAATTATTGTTCCGTCGTAATATATAAACATTTTTATTTATTTATAAAACAAAAGACCATTAATCAAAGTTGACTCGTTACTACAATTAAATACTAATATTCACTGAAGTCATAGATTGTTGAGATACGAACACCAGTTTTGTTGTCACAGCGTACAACCATCGGCACGAACAAATTGTTCACGCTGATATCGACCTTAACACATCTTTACAGTAGCGGCTGTATCGTGTGAACATTTAAAAGGTTAAAAGGTAGCGGGCATCATAAAATTAATTTCTCTTTAATCGTGTGAACCGATGAGTATCGTGTTTAAATTGTCAGAAGAAATGTAAAACAAATAGCTATTTAAATTAATATTATTGTCGTGTTGTGTTGTGTCTTGTGTATTACTGACACTCGCTTCTTCCTTTCTATATTTTCTCTCGAGTCTTTTATGATAGTGAAATACGTTTAACACATTCAATTAATGAGCTTCTTTCAGATACAAATCATCGATTCATCTTCATGTTTCTTTGAATTATGCTTCTTAGTTAATTGTTATAAAATTTTAACACCTAAGTATTGTAGTATAATATTTTATAATATGTATATATTTGGTATAAGTCTCCTACGTATGTTATATCGTTAAACGCTGAGATGAATGTTACAAATAAATGTTTTATTGTGGCGATGTATCAGTGATGTACCCGAGGAGAGACGGACGGCACACAGCCATCAGAGAAAACTAAACGAGAACATTCACACACAGTTATTTTAATATAAAACACCACTGAATAATAAACCAACTTCTCCATTGATTTATATATTAAATACTTGATAAAACTCACAGATCCATGATGTTAAAAACGATTTTTCATATTTTAATTAGATTGTAGAATTAATTATAACCGTGATCTGTTGTACTGTGAGTGTATAGAGGGGACATTGAAGATCGCTCGATCAGCTGAGCGGCAGACGTCTATATATAACCGTCTGTGTATTAATAACTCTGCAATTATTATTAGACCGGGATGTCTGAGCGGCGCGGAAGAGGACCAGCCTTATGTGACACACGGACACTCATCATTTAACAGGATTCCAGACAAGAATCACGACGAGCTCCATACTCAAGGGGGAGAAAATGAAAAGGAAAGGAGCACCTGAAAGGGATATGGATGCTCTTTATATTGCGTCTAGACTAATTATTTCTTTTATTGCCATTTAAGCAATATAACTTAAATATTGATACAAGAATCTTTAATTCATGAAGCGTAAAAAACAAGTGAACATTGATGAAATGCACTTGTTTAATAATATTTAAAATGTTCAGTTTCTGCCACAGCAGCTGGTCTCGTATAGTTAAATAGTCTCATATATATGTATATACATATATATGTCGTGTCTGTCTGTATGTGAAGGTTCCGTCTCCGAGACACATTAAATCTGATGGCGTCTATGACTCCGACCAGCTTCCGACATTTGGGAAGCTTCCAAACTAAGTATCAGTTCCCACTAGTGATGGACGACGCAGGACTTGATGAATAAAGTTTATTGATAACATTATATTAATTTTATAACCAAGTTAAAGGGTTATCTATAGGTTGAAAGTTGTTAAGGACTATGGCTGTTCATTATGATTAGAAATTCATTCACTGAAAATTTTCTGTCGAAAAAATAATGCTACGTAAATTGAGTGATCATTTATATTGGTAGTGGAACAAATAAAGTCTTTAATGTAATATTTATATTATGTAAGATTACACAATTAATTAATATCTAAGAGTCCTCTCCAGTCGGCACATCTCTACGGCAGTGTGTCTACTAACAAAGTCTCAGTCTGATAAACTAGCAAGTTTTGTTGCCAAATATTCAACGATGAGTTCGCTGACTCCTCAACAGTCCGCCCTTCCTCATAACTCTCACCACATCCTTATTATAATAACTTACACATCACATATATACTTTAATAAAGATCTCTAGCACCATGACGGGGTCGATGACCGACGGCTCGTGGGCGATACGGATTTGGTTGGCGAAAATTCGATCGGTTTCTATAATGTTTTGACTGTCATAAAGATACGACATTATATACCAAGGACTTGGGTCATTGGAGATCAGCGGTGAGGTGATGGAGAGAGAGTACTGCTTGACGAGTGGAAGTCAGGGTTTGAAACTGAATGAAATAGAACAATGCTTTACTCACAGAAGCAATACAACAAGATTATCCAAGCTCAAGCATCAGGTGTAATAAATAGTTCAATATAGGAATCATAGAGAAATGGTTAGATGTATGTTGTTTAATTTAACAAAACAAAATCGATGATGTTTAAAGAGAGAGTTGAAGCTGCGACGGTGACATGTATGACACATAGACGGTACAGCTACTGAACAATAAGGAAACGATGACTGATATGTACACTGTCATACACTATGTTACAGACTGCTCTTGATCTGTTCGATTCTGTTATAACATCTTTTTTACAATGTCTTGATCCTGTTCTTAAGTCAGCGTCATCACGTAAAACAAATAGCCGAGTATAAGCCGCGGGCCCTCACCCGTCACCACCATTTATATCTATTAGTTAAACATTTTAACCCTTCAAAATATTGAACCCTTCACACCATACCACGGAACTAATTCAAAGTAAACAAGTCGAAGGACTCCTGACGCCTGCTGACGAGGACTTGGAGTTTAAAAAATGATCATCCCCTCATAAAACAACGTTATCTAAGAAATATAAAAACGACAATAAAACTAAGTTTTATTTGATGATTACT